TTCTAGTCCGATTACATGATCCTTGCCTCAGCCTGCTCCTAGAAAACTGACTACATTATATCTTTATCACTCTTGGCATATTTTCAGATTATTATATGGCATATATACATAATATATATATTTGCCATATAACTATGTCATATAACTGTGACCCCTGCAATAAATCTGCATAATTTCTTGGTGTCTCACCATTAGTTATGTGCTTTTATCACAAAAGCTACTAATAATAAGTTGACAGACTGACTCTACCACTCATACTTCTTTTCGGACACATAGCTTGAAAAAAGGCAATTGGACCAAGTGATGTGACTGTCCAGGATGAGCACTGGCTCTTGCAGACACATTTTAAGTAATGATTAGGAAAAACACTCAGGGAGGTAATGTAGACCCATTTTGGACATTTAGGGTTCTGTCATGACCATTCCTGGGCAGGAATGAGTATTTGTTTTCCCTAACAGCAAGTCCCAGGCCTGTATGATTAACACATAGAAATGCACTTGTTCCTCTTGTCTTTCCAGAGGAAAAGTCTAGGTGTAAATAATTATTAGGACAAAAAAAGTGAAGTTATAGTTACTGAACTGAGTCACTCTAATTTTGAAGAGATTGGTGGAGAACAATAATCCAGTGACTTTGTAGGGAACACCTGGGAGGTATGAGGGGGGAGGGAAGGACATAAATAATCTTCTGTCCTAGAAGGTTCCCTCCACAAGAAAAATGTCCCTGTAGGGCTCTTGGAAATTGCTACAAGCACCTTAAATTTAAATAATTGCTGGATCTGCCATTCCGGTCCAGGAGGCTGTGACCACAACTTGATTGTTATTTTGGTTAACTTTAATGAGAAGTCAATCAAGCCTATCAAGACAGCAAGGGGATGGCTTCAGATTTTGAACTTCCCATGTAAAACATCTCTGGAAGTTTTCCCCATTCCTATTCTCAGTCTTCCCATGGGGCGGACAAATGCCACCTGGAAAGAAAGTGTCCTGATCATAAATTCCCTTTTAGTATTTCAGGAAATGCCATTATGGCCCTGGAAAGCATTCCAGTTTGCTTCATCTCACCTGCTAGGGTTGTTTTAGATGGCAGAATTGCCTTGTACTTCCTCCTTGAGGAACAAGAAGGAGTCAGTGTAATAGCTAATACTTCCAGCTGTTTTTGGATTGAAGTCTAGTGGGAAGGTCAGCACAGAAGTTTAAGAAGAAAACCACCTGGGTATTGCTAGCAACCTAATTGAATGCACCATGAGGATAAACCAATGTATTTTTTATTAATATTTGTCAGATTATTCAGATTGGGCACTGGAGTGGATACTTACAGGAAAATTTGCCTTGTAGAAACAAGGGGTAGTCACTGGTGAGAAACAATTATCCTTAGGTCTCTAATATTTCTGCATGACTTCCAACAGCTTTTGCTGCAGGATACATTTTCTCAAAGATGTTGATATAGCTAACAGACTTGGAAGATAGAGAGTCTTTTAGTGTCTTGCTCTGGGGCAAAGGCAAAATTTGTTTGACTTCCTCTGGGGAATAGGACAGGTAGTTTTGCAGCAACTCTTCATAAAATATGGGGTGTTTCCTAGGCTTAAGTTTCCTAGGGGGTAATTCTTCATATACGCCCCCTGTTGAACTTGAGAGGCGAAAAGGGAACACGAGGCTCCTGTTACCTGACATGAGAAATAATAAATATCTCATTTCGTCTGCTAGCATCCTGAAAGTGTAGCAGCCTAAGTTGTTAGGTTGTAGACAAGATAAAATCTCAGATCCCTCATCGTTGGTAGTTAAAAAATTAAGGCATATTGTGCTTAATAAATCTAAAATAAATGTACTTTTGGTTATCAGTGTCATCTTTGTTAACTATTTGCTAACGGCAATCATAGTTCAGAGAGACATGAAACTAATATGAAAATTTCAAGGAAGATTGATCCTGGCTATTTTATCAAGGCAATTTTATATTTACTTCTCTTAAATAAATGATGTCATTCACTGCAAATATCCAAACATATTTCTGACATGCCATAAATTTGGGGCCATGTTATCCATACTGTAAGCATTCAGTATGAGCTCACTGGAAATGAAAAAATAAGTTTGAACAGATAATTATCTGTATTAAGGAGAAATATGGATTTAATTTCAAAGGCAGCTATATTTATTATTTAAAAAGGTGATAAAACAGAAATCTTAGTTATTTAAGTCTTGAACTTGTACACAGGAAATTTACACAGAGGAAAAACAAAAAGCTCTGGTAATTTGATGTTATCTGAAACTGTAAAATGATTTTTTTTAATATTTATTTATTTATTTATTTATTTATTTATTTATTTATACAAGCACTGGGTACAGTCAGAAGCGCAGGAGGGTGAGAGAATTCACCAGAGCCAGAGAGGGGAGCAGAGCAGGCAGAAGGACCGAAGCACAATGCTGAGGGGAGCAGTGGGCGGCAGGGGAGGTCTGCGTGCCATGCGGGACCCTCCTCCGGTGGCTGGGGAGCAGCTGGGGATCGAACCGGCAACGCAGAGGCTGCGGGCAGCTTCGCAACCCAGCGCTCAACTGCTGCGCCACTGGGGAGGCCCTGTAAAATGATTTTTAACTAAAATGATGACAATGGAAAGGAGGTTAAAAAAAGATTAAACAAGGCAAAGTAATGTTACCTTCCCAAACTCTACTTAGTTTAAATTCTTAGCTCCTATAAACAATAATCTCTGCACCACAAAGTTACACAACTAAAACATACATAATAACATTTAACTTGATAAAAACCCATTAAATTTTTTTATCATGTTTGAAATAGAATCCAAAATTCTTAGCATCACATCCCAGGCCTTATTTAGAACAATCCCTGGCTATATTTCTCTTTCTTACTCTTTCTGGTCTTTCTCCACTAATTAGCTCTACCTATTGTAAATTTTCTTTTCCTTTAATATACTAAGGTAGTTCCTGATTAAATCATCCATATTTACCTTATATTTAGCCCTGAGTAGTATTACCTTATTGCTTGTTCTTTTATTTTATTTTTCCATCTCTATTAAAATGTTATATTTTATGCAGGCATTCCCTGATTATCCAGCTAGATTCTACACTATCCCTTAACCTTCCTTTTACAGTAAATTTCAATACCATATTGTACATGTATATTTGTATATTTATTCACTGTCACCTCACATTAAATGTAACTTCTGTGGGGTTCAGGGTCTTATTTCTTTTGTTCACTGTAGTAAGAACAATGCCTAGACTATTGAATATAATCATTGTCTTGAAGTATTCATTTATAAACATTTCAATTTGACCTGATGGTATAGCTTGGAATGGAATTAAAATCCTTATGAGAACATGTGTAAATAAATGTTGGATTAAAAGAGATGCTGAGGGCACTTAAGAACAATCAGAGCAAGCAAGACTTAGACAGCCACGATCCCAGAGAGTGGAGTCTCATGCTAATGTGAGCCTTATATTTCCCTCTACATTGCCCCTCAGGGAAATTCCTAGTTTTGTTAACAAGAAAAAAAAGTCAGACAGAAATATGAAGCCCACATGTAGCAGTTTCATGGGGATGAAGAGACAGGGGTTGAAGTGCAGGGAGCAAAGGCATTTAGAATTGAAGAACCAAGATCCCCCAGAGGAGAACCACAGAAATGTGAGCTCAAAGTCATGTATACAGTTGTTTTTTCCCTTGTGTTTGCCAACTCCTAGTAGTATATGTATAAGGAAGTATCTAGAAGCAAAGTGCAATAGCAACAGTGGGGGTGCTAAAGAACTAAGAAGAAATTTCTTCTGCTACTTGTGCTGTGGAGAAAGGGAATAGAATTCAGGGACAAGGAGGAGGTGATCTTTCATTTGAGATAACATATATTACCTTAATTTTAAGAGAAAGTAGAAATAGAATAGTCTGGATAAAGCCTGAAAATAAGCCTCAAAAGAATCTCTGCCTATACAAAATATCCCTGTCAGAATAAAATTAAATTTTCTTTAAAGAAAGAAAAATTGGACCTCCCCGGTGGTGCAGCAGTTGAGCGCTGGGTTGGGAAGCTGCCCGCAGCCTCTGTGGCGCCGGTTTGATCCCCAGCTGCTCCCAGACATGGAGGAGGGTCCTGCATGGCACACAGACCTCTCCTGCCGCCCGCTGCTCCCCTCAGCAGTGTACTTCGGTCCTTCTGCCTGCTCTGCTCCCTGCTCTGGCTCTTTCTCTCACCGCCCCCCGCGCTTCTGACTGTACCCAGTGCTTGTATAAATAAATAAATCTTTAAAAAAAAAAAAAAGAAAGAAAACATTTTCCACGGTCTTTAAAATCTTTGCACATACAACATCCGGTATTTGAAATATATAGCTACACTAACAATGCAAATAAGCCTCACAAATAATATGTGAAAGAAATCAGAAAAGGTGTACATATTGTATGTTTCCACTTCAAAACTAAAGAAATCTTCTTGGGATTTTCATAAACTCTGTATCTTAGCCTCACTGACAGTTATGTGGGTATAAATGTCTAGAAAAGAGGGAACAAAATAAGCAAAACTAAGGATGTAAAAAGTCAGTGATCTGTATGGTAAAAGGGTGCTCAATTCGGTTGAAGCATATGGAAGCCAAAGGGGAAAAATGTTGAATGAGCCTGTTTAGTTTGCACCCTCATTGTGGAATACTTGAATACCAATTTAAGAAGGTTGTTCACATTTTTTCTAGGCAACAAAGAACTATTTAATACTGTTGTGCAGGACATAAATAAGATCAGAGTTATATTTAATGAAGAGTAGTGGATAAGTAAAACATTGTGTAAATCTGGTCAGAGAATACACTGGAACTCTTGTAAATATTCTATGACCATGTTTACACACTGTAAAGTCTTGTAGGGCATATGTTGATGATGTTTAGAAATTAAAAGCACATACTTTCTCAAGGGCTATGTGAAAAAATCTGTAACATAGTGCCAATACAATAAACCACTTTAGAAACTGGTATAGACCTAAAACAATAGTTTAAGACCAATATTTATATATTGTAGTTGGTACTCACTTCATCAAACGTAAAATCTTCTAAATCTATTTCTTCATATTCTTCTTCAGACTCCTCATTCCTAATAGCCTCTAGAGCTGTTGTCAGTTTCTTTCGCAAAAGAAAGCCCTTCCAAACTGCCTAAACAAAAAATTTAAAGCATGTTATACAAGGTTATAGATCAAACTCCAAACCAGATTCTCTGTGTTATCCCATTAGGAAGATAAAACATCTTAGACCTTCGTTTATGGCTCAATAATCTGTTTTTTGAACTTTATGTGACACGTAAAACTGCAAGATAAATTAAATGACTGCATGTGTCTAAAGTTCTGAATCTCAGGAGACTTTCCTTGTGGTAAGCAGAAAAGAATCTTTAAAACTCCCTCAACTGCACATGTAGGTCAAACAATCAATTATCTGACAATTCCTCCAGGACCCATTCTAAACTAAGAAGAAAGAGATACAAAGGAAAACCAATTTTGCTAATTTTCAAATGATTATGTATAAAATAAACGAACACACATTTAGGAAAACTTCAACATATATAAATGATCATATTAGAGAGATAGTATCCTGACCTGAAGCAATTAACTAATTTCATTTTTAAAATAAACTAAGTGCAGAATAATAGAATTAAAAACATTCAGATTCCTCAATAATTTTTAAGTAGGGAAAGCTTTCCCAAGTGCAATTCCAAGTACACTGCAGCTTTTTTTAAATGAATATCTTTATATACTGCTAGTGGGTGAGCTCCAGAATATATTAAGTATAAAAAAAGGTAGATAAATATGTACTGTATGCTACTGTTTATCTATGAAAGACTGCATACAAATATTTATGAATATATACATTACATGAACTTATATATGGCTTTACATATTTATGCATATGTGGATGTTTATACTTAAAAGTGTAAGTTATAAAATTAATTTTAAAAAATGGTTACCTATAGAGGAAAGAAACAGGAGGAAGATACTGTATAGAAGACTTTGCTTATTTTGATTTGGAACCATGCACACATTTAAGATAATTCTAAAACAAAGTTAGTACATAAACATAAAAAAAGGGAGAGGAGTAAGAAAGGAGAAAAAATAATTATGCTAGTGTCAAACGACTTTAACTAATATTCCTAGGGGAATATACTCAAAGACAAATCTAATTTCAATAGATACCTAAAAATTGTTTTCAGGAATCATAGTCAGTAAACATATTATATTGTTATTTGAGATATAAAACTGTGATCCACAACTTCTGTAGCAACTAGCATAGGAAGCCAAACCACAACATTTGCACTATCAGGAAGCTAAATCACTCCTCTGCAGCAATTAAACAAGACTGATCAAGACTTGGTCAATGACCAGCAGTTTCCCTATTTTTTTGTCCCTATATTCAACTCAGGACCAAGCAGAGAAAGCCACATATGCCTTCTAAGCCAACCATGTAAGAAGCCGTTGTTCTAGTTGCCCACTTCTCATCTCATGGCAGCCACCTCCAAGTCAAGCCTATTTGAAACTTTTGTTTCCATAGTAGATTCCCCACTCCCTTCCCAGCCTTTGAGTCTATGTCAAAGACAAGTGATGGTGTCTGACTCCTTTGCTATAGCACAGTCTGAATAGTCTGTTTTTCCTCATTGTGGTCCTTGTTGATTTCCACCATCTAGATACGTGTGGATGTATATAAAATACATGGGAGGGGGGTGAGAGAAAGGAGAAAAAAATAATTATAAATGTAATTAGGAATGAGGATTTTCTGAAGAAGAGGTATAAATATAAAATCAAATAAGTAAAAATCTTGTAGTCCTAAATTTAATTTGAAAATGTCAGTATGACATTTTTCTTAAAATTTTGCATTTTCAAACTCAGCACATTGAAAAAAATCTAAATACAAACATCATGTCAGTAGCAACAGAGCACTTTTAAAATCTAGTGTAGGATCTGCAAATACCATTCCCACTAAGGAACCAAAGATCTTTGGACAAATGAATGAATTCAGGCTTGGGGCAAAATGTATATAAAATGAACTTGGATCATTAAATTACATTAGAAAACGAAGTTTTAGAGACCTCTGAATTGAAGAGATTACAAATAAGGGACAATATGAACACCAGTAAAAATAATAACTGCAATGAAATTAAAGACATTATATATTTAAAAAATTTACATGTACATTAAATAGAACAAATTATGGTGATCTCTGAAGAATGCTTGGACAATTGTATTAATGTGAAAATTGGTAAATAAAGGAAAAACATCAAGCATTTTACCTATCTTTCCAATATGAACTATACCTCTTGTTAATGAAATCACAGATAAGTTTCTGTATATAGAGATATTTTAGTTAACAAATGAAAAAAAAATGATATGTAGATTATCAACATTTTGTAAACCATTAATTGCGTATATATACACATATATAGATGATAGAGCAATGAATAAAATGCAAAACTTTTTATACATGGACTTTCCATTCCAACAGGATGCAAAAGCCAAAAACAAAAGAAATAATGAAAATATAATATCTATGCTAAATAAATGCTATAGACAAAAATAAATCCATGATAGGGCATAGGGAACAAATGGGAGGGATTAATATTTATTTCTCTATTTTTTGTTTGGTTTATTGACGTATAATTAGCATATAATATCATATTAATTTCAGGTGTACAACATAATGATTTGATATTTGTATACACTGCAAAATGGCTCTGATCAACTCATCAGGGATAGGACTCTAGGCTTTAATATATACTGTGTGTTTTCCTGTTATGACCCATGAATCTGCATAGGATCAGAAATTTAATTTCCAGTCATCTCTACTAAATTTAACAGATAAATGATAATATAAAGGTGTTGATAGCAACATACAGATTCTTCTTTTAATTTATTTTTCCTTTCAAGGTTTCAATTTTTCTGTCCAGTAATACATCTATGATGAATTCATATTTCCTTCTAACACATTCAAGTCAATTCCCTGGTCAGACAATTCTATACATATTAGCTATATCTGACATATTTTTCTTCTCCAACTACCATCAATTCCCTCTCCTGGAATAGATCACACACTTGTTCCTTATGTAAGTCCTTACCATTTTCCTCCCATATTCTCTTAATATTCTAATTCTTATGGTAGTGTGGTTGCACATAAATTCTTATTCCAACAAACCATAAAATTCTATGTTCTTTTACTTCCACTATCCTTTATAATTGGAATTCCATTCACTCATGTTTACAAAGACACAAAAATATGTAATAACTGAAAGCAATATCCTATTGCTTGATCACATAAGCACTGAGAGAGCAAACAATGAATGGGGAAGCACTTTATCATGGAGTGATTCCAATACCCAGGGTTTTGCACACTCTGCAGTCTCAACAGGTAACTTTCAAAGATGCCTCATATCAGTCAACTAAAAAGGAAAAAGAATTTAAAAGAATGCTCGTGGAAGGTTTAATGGGTTAGACTTGAAAGTGATATACACACCTCAGAAAAAGGGAGGTGAAAAGTTGGGAAGTCTAGTCTGATTGTGGGCAGGGATGAAAAGGACAATGTGGCTTTTTGGAGAGCAGAGAGCAGTCTCTACCACCTCTTTCATGAAATCTTCATTTTGTTCTTTCTAAATCCCAGGTCATTTAATATATTATGCTCTGCTCCCCAAGGTGGCTAGACAGTCTATAATTCACTATTTTAAGATGAATAGTGTAAAAAAAAACTAGATGACTGCACTAAGGAGAAAATAAAGTTGATTTTAAGAATCATGATGCACAACAAAAGAGGTTTGTTCTAAAGAAAGTTTGCAAAGAAAGGTTGACTTATGCTCCTTTTTTTTTTTACATTTTCTTACAAAGAACCTGAACCAATGGACACTAAACAGAGATATTAGTCATTGAACTAGACAGTTTCAAAAGGAATAAACTTTTCTTTATTGAGCAAAAGTTGAATAGCATTTACCATCAATGTGGAAAAATGTATTGGTCATCTACTGATGACGGGAGGACTGCACGTAGACTGCATGATATCTTCATTCCTCATGTAGCAGAATAACATTTTGAAATAGTAACTGAGGTTTCTTTCTTTTCCTCAGAATGTCCTTGAATCTATTAACCACCCCACCCCCTACCACTACCATTCAGGCATCAGTAACAGCTTTGTCTATGAATTGCCATTAGAAGTGCAGTCAGACACATTAAGTCAACTGAAATACTGACTATATTCACTAGAACCATAGAAGTAATTCTTTTGAAAACCAGGACTTTACTAGCAAGAACCAGAAATTTAATTTCAAAGCTCTTCTTTCAGTTGCTTTTGCCAAATATATTGGCCACATCTTTGACTTATATCTCTCATGCTCCACATCCCTATAACATTACCAATTATACCTTCAAAGTATATATGCCTAGCCTCCACGTAAATCAACTTATATTTAAGAATCTGATTTTCTTTCCAAATCCACTGTTAATACTCCGGTCCATGCAACCATTATCTCTTGTCTGGATTACTGCCATTGTCTTCTAAGTATTTTTTTTTAATTTATTTTATCATACATACAAGAACTGGGGTACAGGCCAGAGGTTTGTGGGGTGGTGGTGAGAGGATCCACCAGAGACAGAGTAGGGAACAGAACAGGTGGATTGACTGAAATACTCTTCTTAGGGGAGCAGCGGGCAAGTCAAGAGAGGTCTGCTGTGCCATGTGGGTAGCTTGCTCCCTGGCCAGGGATCAAACTCATGCTGCAGTGGCTGCAAATAGCTTCACAGGTTGTGTCTTAACCCCTTGCACCACAAGGGAGACCCTTAAGTAACTTTGATGCTTCTATTCCTACTTTACTCCAGTGCAATTGCAACATAACTTTTTTTTTTAAATAATAAATTTTATTTTTATATTCCCCCATACAATTGCAAACGCCCCATTCTGACCCCAATCCTTCCCCTCCCGCCCCCCACCCCCCAAAAAGTGTCTCTGGTTCATAGTTTTTTGTTGATTTTGATTTTCACTTTCTTATATTCATTTTCCTGGTCCCTTATTTAAGTTTTCTAGATTCCTGCTATGAGTGAGACCATCCGGTATTTTTCTTTTTCTTTTTGGCTTATTTCGCTGAGCATGATCCCTTCCAGCGCCATCCATGTTGCTGCAAATTGCATGCGTTTATCTTTTTTGAATGCTGAGTAATATTCCATGGTATATATGTACCACATCTTCTTGATCCAGTCATCTATTTTTGGGCATTTGGGTTGTTTCCAAAGCTTAGCTATTGTAAACAGTGCTGCTATAAACATAGGGGTGCAGGTGCTCTTTGGAATTGATGTTTCTGTGTCCTTTGGGTAAATACCTAGGAGTGGAATTGCTGGATCCTATGGAAGCTCTATGTTTAGTAGGTCCAGAAATCTCCACACAGCTCTCCATAGTGGTTGGACCAGTTTGCACTCCCACCAACAGTGCAGAAGAGTTCCTTTTTCTCCACACCCTCGCCAACATTTGTTGTTGCTAGTTTTTTTAATATGTGCCATTCTCACTGGTGTGAGATGGTATCTCATGGTAGTTTTGATTTGCATTTCCCTGATTACAAGTGATGTTGAACATTTTTTCATATGTCTGTTGGCCATTGCAACATAACTTAATCATGTTATTCCAGTGTTTCAATTCCTCCAATATCTTTACAAAGACTAGGGATTTATAAATTCTACTCTTGGCCCCTTCATCCCCTTCTTAGTGCCCCTTGAACATTGCGCAGATGCTCCTAAATCAGTGCATTTGAACCAGATATTCCTCTGCCAAATACTCAATGTCTTTCTTACTTCAGTGTTACCTTTTCTGGTCTTCCATACTCATGCTATCTAAAATGATAAACTCCCTTGGTATTTCAATCCTGCTTTTACCTTTCTAATTTTCCCCCCTTAGTCCACATAATATTTAATAGGTATTATTTATTAGATTTATTAGTAGCACATCCCAACAGAATGTAAGCTAGCAAGATTTCTGTGTCAAGAAATATTTGCTGACTAAAAGGAAATGGTAAGTTTAGTTACTATCATTCAATTCAGGCTAAGTACCATCAATTTCCAGAGACCACATATTATGTATATTTATTTAGTTTATATTTGCTTCTTCCAACAAGATGTAAATTTCATAAGGGCAGGAATCTTGTCTGTTTTGTTCAGTTAGATTTCCTGAGCCTAAATAGTGCTTGGCAAAGAGTAGGTTCTAAAACATTTATTATAAATAAATAAAATAATGAATATAATTGGGTTGGACTTCTTTTTAAAATATGTTCTTGGTGGGCTTCCCTGGTGGCGCAAGGAGTTAAGCACTGCACTATGAAGCAATCCACAGCCTCTGCAGCATGAGTTCAATCCCCAGCTTGCCAGGGAGCAACCCACATGGCGAGGCAGACCTCTCCTGTCTTGCCCGCTGCTCCCCTCAGCAGCGTACTTAGGTCAATCTGCCTGTTCTGTTCCCCACTGTCTCTGGTGAATCCTCTTACCTCCCTCATCTCTGCCTGTGCCCCAGCTCTTGTATGCATAAATAAATAAATCTTTAAAAAAAAAAAAAAACAACATGCTCTCAGTGAGGTTGATTCAAATTTATCCCCTACTTTTATTTCTGAATTTTTAAATAATAAGTATTTGAATGTCTTTAACAATTATTTTGATAGGTTTTTTCACATGCCTCTTGAAATAGTTATAGATCAGGCCACTTGAGAGTTGCTTTGGCTAATCAAACATTAGCAGATGTGACAGATGACACATTTGAGCAGAACCTTAAATATGACTGACTAGTTCAGCTCGAGCCCCAGTGATCAGCACAGTTTTTTCCAAATCTGGACTACTCCTTTCTCCTAGATAAGAGGAGGGATACCCAACCTGTATGTCACATGAATGAAAAATAAGTCCAGGTATTTTTAAATCATTGTATTTTTTTTTTTATTTTTATACTAGAACCGGGGTACAGGCCAGATGCGTGGGAGGGTGAGAGGCTTCACAAGAGACAGAGTGGGGAACAAAACAGGCAGACTGACTGAAACACACTGCTGAGGGGAGCAATGGGAAAGACAGGAGAGGTCTGCCATGCCATGTGGGATTCTCGCAGGCCAGCTGGGATAGAACCCGCAGTGCAGAGGCTGCGGACAGCTTCACAGTGCAGTGCTCAACTGCCTGTGCCACCAGGGAGGCCCAAATCATTGTATTTTTGAGGGATGTCTGTGGTGCAGAATAACCCTGTGAAATATGACTAACACATCTATGGGTAAAAAGTAATTTGACTTTAAAAGTAAGATTAAAACTAACCTGAATAAGAATAGCAGCCTTCTCCCTTTGTTCTTGCATAGTTACAATATTTTCTGTTTTTTTATTCTTTAAAATATTTTGATTCTTCACGTAGGAATTTGACTGAGATGTGAATTCTGTTGCAGCAGCATGTAGCTGTGTAGAGAGAGGCGTTCGGCTGCACTTAATATACCCACGCCAGTATGCCTGGATCACCGAAGCTGCCATACTGTTAAGAGGAGAAAATGGTTTTCTTTTTATAAATCCACAGTTATAAATAAGAGGCCCTCATAAGCTATATTAATAAACATCCATTACATTAAGCATTATTTAAAAATTAAACCATGTCTTTACATTCATAGAAATAAAAGCAGTATCAAAACATACTTTATAGAAACCTTTTTTAAATATAGAGAAATGGATCAACAATTATAAAGATGTGAGTACAAAGGAGTTTTATTTATTTAAGGAAGGAGATACCACCAAGATTTTGTAAGACATGGAGGATGCTGACACAAGAGTGAGGGGAGAAAAGTGACGACGCAGAAGAGAGGGGACAAGTGTTGAAGCCAATGTTGAGTTGACTAGAAAAGATGGGGTCCCCTTCACAATGGAGAGAGTAGCCTTGGAGAGGAAGGAGGGTGCCCTTCACCATTAACAGGAAGGACCCATTGGGACATTGTTTGCTTCATTTTCCAATGCATGGACAAATACTTAAATCATACTCTTATAAACCCAATAGTTCTAACATTTTCCTAACCTATATCTATTTGCCAATTTCAGGTATTGCATCAATGCTGTGTTTTATTTCCTACATCCCCCTAGGTTGTGAAACAAATTAGCAAAATTTCAATAACAGTGTACCCTGATTCTAAGAGTATTTGCTGTTTAATATTTTAACTCTCCATAATTGTACAACTTTTCATTTCCCCATTAGATTTTTGCAGGACTATTATTAAGTATAGAATATAGTACTACTACTAATAATATAAGTACTACTTATTCTTCTTAAACTCTCTTCAGATCCCTGAGTTTAGTTTTAAATGCTTTTGAAGGAGACGTATTCTTACATATTCCCCTTTCCCAGTGCTTTCTTGAAAGAGTTTCCAACATTTTAAAACTTCCAAATTCAGTGGCATTTTTTCATTTTTCATATTAGTGATGCTAAGGTAAAGTTAAATTAAGTGATAAATTCTACCTAACATGACCACACATCCTTTTCCCCATTGTAATAAATTTTGGGGACGTAAAAAGGGATGTAACTATTTTCTATTTTTATTTTGTTTTATCATCATCATCATCATCATCATCACCAACATCATCATCATTTTACCTAAAATCTGTAGAAGTCTACTTTGATGAAATATTGAAGTTAGTTGGATAAAACCTTTGACCAAATATAAATTATTTGTACTCCTAATTGTTGGAAAATAAAATCATGTTTCATTTTAAACTCCTCCTACAGTAAGTAGAGTTTTGCGAATTTTTCTACAGATTTAATTGACAAATAGTCATTATCTAATAGAAAACATGTACACATGACAGTGAATCTTCTTGAATCACTAAATGGCAAAGCTCAGTAAGTGGTTATACATCTTCTTTTTCCTTTATTTTTTAGGTCTTCAGTTTGTCTATATTTTTATCTCTTTTATTCCTATTATCACTTGGCTATTTTATTTACTGGATAAGAAGTTATAAAAGCAATGTATATAAAATTTCAGTAGGCAAAAATCTAGTATTTGGACTTAATGGGGTTTTGGACATGGTATCCCAAACTATGGCAATCTGGCATATTGCATATTTTAAACTGAAGGAATTTGTATAAAAAGCTTGTGTAAAAATGACTTTCTGACGGGGCCTTCCCTGGTGGCGCAGCGGTTGAGTGCTGGGCTGCGAGGCTGCCCGCAGCCTCTGCAGTGCCAGTTTGTTCCCCGGCCACTGGAGAGGGTCCCACCAAAAAAAAAAAAAAAAAAAAAAAGACTTTCTGACCTTTCCAAAAACATGTCATAAGACCCTCATGTTAGAGGTACCCTGCATTACCTGAAAGAAAAAAACTATTCTTATCTGCAGGGATATCAGAGGAATCTGAATGAAGAGACCTTGTTAAATTCCCCCCATTTTACTATTCACAGCTCACACCCTTTGTCCTATGATATTTTTCCACAATTTTCACTTTTCATCAAGCCTAATATAAAAATGATCAAGTTTTAACTATTTCTTCAGGCCTTCATTTCTTTATGATGGCTTCCATGGCACATAAAACATTAAATGAATTTGCAGGCTTTTCTCTTATTAATCATCTCTTAATCTATCCTGGCTGAAACTTTAGAAAAGTATACGAAAGAGATACTTTTCCTCCACTATAGAGCAAAAACAATCAATTAAATAAATTGATAAATTATAAATCAGTGTAAAGCCACTTTAAAAAATTGTTAAAAATTTGCATTACAAATGTTTATTAGTTTCAACATATCAAACCATTTAATATTGCTCCAGAAAAGAAATCACAACTCATATTGACAACTCCTGAAAGAATGAAGCTGGTCAAAGCAGCATTAGCTATTATGATTACCTAGTTCAGCACCAGTTTTATAGGAGAAACTGAATCTGACCATTTTAGTTCTGTCAGTTTAACACTAATGCAGTAAGTATGAAGAAGAAAAAAAATTGACAGTCTTTGTTAATTCAATAAACAAAGCCAACCATTAGCTTTTAAAGAGTGTTTAATAGTTGGAAGGTGGCCTGTGTGATTAATCTCAAAGAATATTGTCCTGTCTAGTTATGCCAAAGAAAATAGGAGCATATGCATTCAAACACTTTTGCATAAATTCTTACTAAGTGCTTATTAGGTCAATAAACAAAGGAGTAGCATGTGAAAAGGTATATTTTAGAATCTTAATAAATGATTAGTAGATCAATAAAAAAATAAGTAACACATATTGTAGTATATTTTTAAAAATTAAAAAATCTGATTATTTAAAAAGTATTCCTTATATTTCTCTAAAATAAAGCAGTATTTTATTTCTCCCAATAAAATTTCTTTTAATTAGAGATTAGATTGCAGAAAAAATATTTTCATTTAGTCATTTCAAATGAATACTAGTCAATTAAATCAGAACCTGCCAAAACGCAACTAAATTACTTTGTATTAAATTAATAATTTCTGCACATCATAAAATAGAACTAAGGAAAGCAATATGAAATATAATAGCAATTTAAATCTTTTACCAATATAAGTTGGTAACATTGACTAAGACTAGTCATAAAAATAAAATATACACAAGTGTAAAAGAAAAATTATTTATAAATCTTACATTTTTTTCTGATGTTCAATATTTTGGCAATCCCTCTTTAGAGACATTGTCAATACTGTTTCCATGAATGGAATTCTTTTGGGGGGAATATCTGTGTTGTCTTCTGTTTTCTGACCTATTTTTTCTTGATTTCTTCCTTCTGTATCTTCACATACAGTGGAATTGATTAATGGGGAGTGATTAGAGTCAGAATCCATCCATTTCTCAGAAATATCTGCTGAGTCTGGGTTATGTTCACAAGAGTAGAAGTCTCTATTTTGCAATATGTTATCACTACTTGCAGGGGTCAAATGATTTTGCTGGGCTTCTGATTCATCTCTCTTAGTGATACTGACATCTCCATGCTCGTGCATATAACGGTATTCGTTACTAAGTGTCATCAATTTCTGAAAATAAAGGCAGAGATTTTCTGCAGCATCCAAGGTGAATATATTTCTGAAATATAATAATATATTAAATATAATATATAATATAATAAATAATAAGGATTTTTAATAAGAAGCATTATATCAGCAAATCTGAAAACGTTTATAGGTTTTGAAAATTTCCAAGTAGCCTGACTTGAACATTAAACTTTATTCAACATGCATTAAAAGCTTATTTCTGGTTGTTTATCTAAAAATTGATCTATTTTCTAACAAAATTTGGAAATATTTGTTTAGTTAATTTAGATCTCTCAATCTAGACAAAATGTCTGGAAGTTTTAGAATCATTTTTATTTTAGGTATTTTTGGTACACATGACCAGAAAAATCCATACTTTTTCCACCATAAACATGAGAAGTCATGGCAGCCTAAATTTGGAGGAGTTATTTCTGAAACAAAGTTTAAAGTACTTCTGCATTGACTCTTGCCATGCAAAATATTTGTATTGGACTTTTAAACAAAGAACTTATATTATGGGAAAGTTTTTATTCCCATTTTTCTCTGGAAAAAGAATCCACTACAAGGATAATTCAAATAGTTCAAGACATAACTGCTTGTGATTCTCTTAAATAATTGTTGGATCTCTATTTAACTGAGGTTATAATTTCTATGATGAATTAAACTTTCATGTTTTCCAGATTTGAGGTTCGTAATAGTAAATGTGAAGGACTTTACACTTACATGAGTCTAATTCTGGGTTACATTTTATTTACATTTCTTATTTTTTTTTTTAAATTGTCAATTTAAATTTATATTTTTTAACTATATTGAATATATAGTCACAATGCCTTAAGTAATTTTTGCAGCAATGTAGAATATAAAAAGAAAAAAATATTAAAAATCCCAAACAAAATAAGAGCTACAACTACTTTCTAATATTCAGAGCTAAATAGATAGTTTCTTTGGTCACAAAGATAATTATTCAAAATTAGCATAGACTTCTCCAATATATTTTTGGTATACTGTAGTTCATTTAATTTACTGGCTAATAATTCAGAAAAGATTCAGTTTGATATTAGAAGATATCAAATGTTTATGGTTACACATATAAAATAGTCTATTTTCCATTTCAATTTAAAATATAAGTTACTATGATAATAAATTACTCAAAGGAATTGAAAAACATAAATTTCATTGTGAAGGATGATGTCAATTAACTATATTTCTCCGTGTATATAAGGAATACTAGTTTAGATTTGCAAAAAGATAAATGTGAAATTTGTTGAAAGTAAACATAACTTCTGAAACTATTTTTGAAGCTGTCAGATTTGTTCTCACTCTGAATATTCTATGCTAAAAAAATAAAAAAGAAAACCAACACACATAGGATGAACATATATGAAAGTATAAACAGCAGTAATTTATGTAATTTAGTAATTAAATTTAGATATTGGAACCCAATAGTTAATTAACATCATTGTTCTAGGTTTATTATAGAGTCACCATAAGTAAATTATAAAATTGCTTTCCCTTTTCATTTAAGTTTGTTTTTTTCAAGCAACACAAATTAGAAAATACAGTTATAGAAAAGTCAATTGTAATTCAATATAATCATGGCATTCAGAATTTGGGTTGTAGTAAGGGAAGTTCTCTTTCTTTGATATTGTTCTATAAGTACCCAGCTTCTGATTTGAAATTATACATGTGCTGCTTTTCTCAACTTCCAAAAATCCCTTAATATATAAATTTCATATATGTGTAATATACCTAGCATATAGATCTATTAAAAAATTGCTTTGTTTCATTATAACTGATTGCTTTATTTTCTCTTATGTTAATTTGTTAATTATTTGAGGATAAAGCATAATTAGGTGTCTTATCCCAATAAATGTGGAATAAATTTGTGACTGATTTATTGACTGGCAGGCTGACTGATTGCTTGTGTGCATTTGTGAAGAGGTTATCCTCATTCTTTCATTTATGTTTCTAATATATTAGGTTTTAAATTATGTTCATAATAAACATTAGTAAATTTCAAATAGAAAAAAATGAGACTATCCCTAAAGCATACTGTTCTAATCCAAAAACTTATGATTATGTTAATTAGAATATTCTAATCACATGTATAAATTTTATCATTTCTTTTAATTATGACAAGGATAGGATAACAGCCTTACCCTTTTCCAGTAATGTAGTTCTCGATTAATAAGTTGAATTCTTTAATCTGGGATTGACAAAGTATCAAGAACTGTCCTAATTCTAATTGACAGTGCTCATCAGTGTGGCTTTCTGAATAAGAGTTTAGCATTTCACCATTGAGAATTCTTAGAGCAGGTAACACTTCAAGTAGAGAATGCCTGTTGAAAAGAGAAAAAAAAGTTAATTTTGAAAATGAGATTTTATATCTGAAATAACCATGTGCCTAATTACTAATTTAAGTGCAGAATTTAGCTTAGAAAGCTCTATTAGATTTCATAGAAAAAATGACTGCTAAATTTGTTTTAAAAAAATGTATGGTATCACATATGGTACAAAATAAGTTTTTTTTTTTTTTTTAAAGAGGCATGTATTTTTATTTATTTGTTTGTTTGTTTGTTTATACATGTACAGTCAGAAGCACGGGAGGGTTAGAGAATTCACCAGAGCCAGAGCGGGGAGCAGAACAGGCAGAAGGACCGAAGTACACTGCTGAGGGGAGCAGCGGGCGGCAGGAGAGGTCTGCGCGCCATGTGGGACTCTCCTCTGGTGGCCGGGGAGCAGCCGGGGATCGAACCGGTGCCGCAGAGGCTGCGGGCAGCTTCACAACCCAGCGCCCAACCGCTGCGCCACCGGGGAGGCCCCAAAATAAGTTTTAAAGTTCATGACTTAAATTTAATTTTGTTTTTCTAAAACGAAAGTGGGAAATTCAAGTGGAGATAAATTTGGGTTGGGAGTAAGTAAAAGGTTACATAATGACACTAAAGTCAAATGTGCTTTTTAAAAAAGAAGATAACAGGGGCCTTCCTGGTGGCACAAGGGGTTGGGATGCAGCCTGTGAGGCTATCCGCAACCTCTGAAGCATGGGTGTGATTCCCCGCCAGTCAGGGAGCAAACCATATTTCGCAGCAGACCTCTCCTGACTCACCCGCTGCTCCCTCAGCAGTGTACTTTGGTCAGTCTGCATGTTCTGTTCTCTGCTCTGTTTATGGTGAATCCTCCCCCCGCACACACCTCTGGCCTGTACCCCAGCTCTTGTATACATAAATAAATAAGTCTTAAAAAATCTTAAAAAAGAAGATAATAAAACAGTATTACTAAAAGTTGCTGTTTATTTCAGAAATAGGGGGTAAATTCTGATTGTTTACTTTAGTAGAATGATCTGAATAATTTAAAAGTATGATTTTTCTTTTTTGCTAAGCCTTATAATAACAAGCATTTTAAAGAGTTTAGCATTTAGCATAAATGATCAAAAGTGTGTATCAACTGAAAAGAAAAATAATATCAAAAACCAGGTTCAGACATCAACAGCTATCTGCCAAGTGAAGCTATGTAGAAATATTTTCCAGACCTTTCACAAGGAGAGTGCGGTTCTGTTTTCATAAGGCTGCTGATGGTCACTAGCAAAATGAACTTTCTGACTCAGTAAAACTCCATACTTAAATACCGATAGCTCCTATGAGAAAGACTACAAAACTCTGATGAAAAGATAATAAAGAAAACTAAATAAATGGAAAGTTGTACTACAAAGATATCTATACATGGATAAGAAACTTTGCTATTGACAAGAAGACAATTCTTTCCAATTTGGCCTATAGAATGGATACAATCCCAGCCAATATACCACAAGATATTTTGTGTACTTATTTGTACAGAACTTTTCACTGGGATGCTGGACCCACAGTGGTAGTACACATATAATAACACCTATGAGACCTTCTTGAGCAGCTATGTATCAGGTCTCATCTACTAGGCCACCTGAAGGAAGGCACTATGAATACTGCTATCATGAGAACCACAGTATTTAATACATCCATTCTTTATTTTAGTCACTATCCACAGCCATTGGGATGTGAATTCAAAGCTAGATTCTTATGTCTTCCTCCAACCCTACAGGGGTTTCGGAGAAGACTACCCTTGAACTACTAGACTTTGGTATCTGAATATTTTTTTTTAGATGCAGAGACTTCAGTTACATTCAGTTATACTAAGGGGTCAGGAAAAAATCCAAATCCATATTTTTAAAATCTAACCTATTTTGTGTGTATTAAGAACCACTGTATTAGGGAAAAAATAGACCACAACACACTATGCTAAAATCATAGATACTCAGGCTTAAACTTCAAAAGCCACTCTGAAATGTAAATGATTTTCAAAATACTTTACATTTTTAAGAAAAATATAGATTACTTGGAGACTTTAGCATAATTTATATATCAATGATGATAGAAACATTAGCTAAAATAAGAGATATTGTAGACCTATACAATTACATTTCAGTGATCTGCTCACTGATTAATATTGCCATTGGTTTTATATAAAAGGTTACATAATGACAATAAAGTGAAATGTGCTTTTTTTTTTATTTATACAAGCACTGGGTACAATCAGAAGCACAGGAGGGTGAGAGAATTCACCAGAGCCAGAGCGGGGAGCAGAGCAGGCAGAAGGACCGAAGTACACTGCTGAGGGGAGCAGCGGGCGGCAGGAGAGGTCTGCACGCCATGCGGGACCCTCCTCTGGTGGCCGGGGAGCAGCCGGGGATCGAACCGGTGCCGCAGAGGCTGCTGGCAGCTTCGCAACCCAGTGCTCAACCGCTGCGCCACTGGGGAGGCCCCAAATATGCTTTTTAAAAAAGAAGATAACAGGGGCCTCTAGTCAGAAATAATTGATGAGAAAATGAAGTAATTTCAAACACTGATAAAGTCTGAGAGGAAAAAAATCATAATTTGCTTTCATCAGATTAACAGACAGATCAACATTTTACCACAAGTATATTTTATTTAATAAATGTTTATGCTACAGACACCAAAGTAATGAAAAATTAATAAATACAAACATAATATAGGACACTAAGTGTTGCAACAGGCATGTGGAAGTTGCTCAAATGTTAACTGGTGCTAGATCAGCAAGGGGGGAAATGATAATTTTATCATCAAATACTATATTTTGGACATGGTATTGATGTAGACATTAATGTAGATATTGATGTAGATAAATATTAAATATAATATTTTAACTTGGGGGATACTCTAGAAAGTGTGATTAACTAATTTGGAATTTTTTTTTATAATTTTCATCCCCTTTAAATAGGATAAGTCCCTAAAAGTATTATTTTAGTCAGGATATTTGAATTATTTTACATATAAACATTTTGTTTGTTTGGATCTTTGAGACTGTCATAACATTTTATAATTTGTGATTTATATAAAAAATATTCAGATTGAAGTTTGTATTTTGTTTTAAACATTTTTTTCCTATATTTTATTGAAAGAAACAGTTCTCAGATCTGTGTTAGTAGTACACAGATTGACCTTAAGTTCAAATGCCACTTTATAAAAGTCTATGTTGAATATATGAGAAAGTGCTGTAACAAGTTGATTCATGTTAGAAATGAAGTACAAGAATACTGTGAGATCCCAACATTAGTTTCTCCAGCTGGGCTCCTCCTCGTCAAGGGCTGAATCAATATTTCATTTAGTGAAAACTTCCTGGTGAATATTCTGTCACTTAAGAAGCTCTATTAATCATTAATGAATGAAACACATCCCCAAAGGAGATTCCAAACTGAGTCTGTGGATTAAGTTTTAAGAAGAGATTTTTTTAGTACATCAGTTTTGTCCGTGTTATCACTGGCTAGACATGAAAGTAAGAAGCCAATTGGGAAAATATATAACTAATCCCTTTGTTGCTATCAAGGGGTTATGTAAAGTTCATTGGAACACACTGCTTAAAGTTTGAGCTAAACCTTTCATTAATAAATCCATATTTTATAGATTACTAGATTTTAAGTCATTTAGATAAATGAATCTCAAATACATGAAAGCTGCATTGGACCAACTAAATGAAATTTGATAGGTAAAATTTTCAAGTTGGTATTACTCTAGTCTAGAAAACTTCATTTAAATACAGAAATTATAAGTAATGAAATAATATAAACGCATAAAGCACACATACTAAGTGTATTAATTCTGAGTATTTTTTCACTAGCATATTTTATTCAATAAAGTGCTCATCATACAAATAATGAAAAAGTAAATTCAAAGATCATAAAGATCTGTTTTTGTTTCCAGTTGTTACAGTAGCAAAATGGCAGCTGTTCAAATGGAAGCTGATACTAGATCAACCAGAGAATTCATATCCTCTTTGCCAAATACCTAAAGAAAAACTATAGTACCCTTAAAAAGCTTTCTTGGAACAATGTACACAACTACTTGTGTGTATTTGCCATCATAGAAGTGGTCTACATAGTTACTTGGGAAAACAAGCACATCTATCAAAACAACCTATCATATATTTTCTTTACAAATAGTATCACCTGCCAAACTGACATTTTAGACTTACTTTTACTCTTCTTTTTTGTATGGAATTTTGATTCTAAGTTCTGTTTTCTAGAAATGAAAACTCAAAATTTGGGAATTGGTACTCTAAACCCCAATGTAAAATAAGTATAGCTCTAGAAGTTGAGATAATGAATGGGACCTTGCTTATATTTCAGACGAAGGAGTCTTTCATCAGCTGGCAAAAGGACTATATGCAATATTTGTATATACATATATGCAATATACACACAAATTCTTTAAATAGAATTTCTGATCCTCTCATGTTTTGATATAAACTAAACTTATCGTATTTTGTCTTAAGATCAGTTTTCTCAGAAAAAGAGAATAAAGAAAATTCATAGGGCCACTCCTGGTGGTGCAGCGGTTGAGTGCTGGGCTGCGGACCTGCCCGCAGCCTCTGCAGTGCCGGTTCGATCCCTGGCCGCCATCGGGGAGGGTCCCACATGGCTTGCAGACCTCTCCTGCTGCCCACTGCTCCCCTCAGCAGTCTATTTCGTCGGTCTGCCAGTTCTGTTTCCCGCTCTGGCTGTGGTGAATTCTCTCACCCCCCCCCACTTCTGACTGTACCCAGTGCTTATATAAATAAATAAAATAAATCTTAAAAAAAAAAAGAAAATTCATATAAAATTCCTACAAATTTATTCTTTATTTACATATAAGTATTGCAATATTCCAAAGAGAGGAATGAATTCATATGTGCTTATAATACATACTTTTCAAAAAAGCCTTATTTATTTATGCATACAGAGCTGAGGTACAGGCCAGAGGTGCAGGGGGTGAGAGGATTCACCAGAGACAGAGTGGGGAATAGAACAGGCAGACTGACCAAAGTACACTGCTGAGGGGAGTAGCGGGCGAGCCAGGAGAGGTTTGCTGTGCTATGTGGGTTGCTCCCTGGCCAGCTGGGGGATCGAACTCATGCTATAGAGGCTGTGGACAGCTTCATGGGTTGCATCTTAACTGCTTGCACCACCAGGGAGGCCCCATAATACATACTTTTTAACAGACATCAAAATCTCTCTTAAGACAATAAAATGCAACCAAATTACTCTCAGGAATGGAGTAATTTGAACTAGCAAACTATGTGGTTTAAATGAGTTGCAAAAAAAAGTCTCAATAATAAAGGAGATTTTTTTTATTTCTTCTTCAGTTTTATAGTTTGTGTATAGGAAGGTTACTGATTTTTGTGTGTTGATTTTGTATCCTGCTACTTTACTAAACTGATTGATTAGTTTGACTAGTTTTTCTGCGGAGTTTTTGGTGTTCTCTATGTATATTATCATATCATCTGAGAATAGTTATGGTTTAACTTCTTACTTCCCTATTTGGATACCTTGTATGTCTTTCTCTTATCTTGTTGCTCTGGCTAGGACTTCCAGTATTATATTGAAAAGCAGTGGTGAGAGTGGACTTTCTTGTCTTGTTCCAAATCTTAATGGAAATGCTTTTAGCTTTTCTCCATTGAGAATGATATTGGCTATGGACTTGTCATATATGGCCTTTATGATGTTGAGGTATGTTCCTTGTATCCCGGGAACTTCAAGGGCCTTTATCATAAATGGGTGGCGTACTTTGTTGAAAGCTTTCTCAGCATCTATTGATATTATCATATGGTTTTTATATTTCTTTTTGCTGATGTGTTGGATTACATTGATTGATTTCCAGATGTTGAACCATCCTTGTGTCCCTGAAATAAATCCTACTTGGTCATGGTGAATTATCTTATGGATACATTGCTGGAATCTGTTAGCTAAAATTTTATTGAGGATTTTTGCATCAGTGTTCATTAGAGAGATTGTGGCCTGTAGTTTTCTTTTTTTGCGTGGTCCTTGTTTAGTTTTGGTATTAGTGTAATGTTGGCTTCATAGAAAGTGTTTGGTATTATCCTTTCCTTCTCAATTTTTTGTAAGAGTTTATGAAGGACAGGCACTAGTTCATTTCTAAATGTTTGGTGGAATTCATTTGTAAATCCATCTGGTCCTGGGAATAAACCTAACAAAAGAGGTAAAGGACCTATACAAAGAAAACTATTAATCACTGTTAAAATAGAAGAAGACACAAAGAAATGGAAAGACATCCCCTGCTCATGGATTGGAAGAATTAACATTATCAAAATGGCCAACTTACCAAAAGCAATTTACAGATTCAATGCTATTCCAATAAAAATTTCAATGACATTCTTTAAAGAAATAGAACTAATATTGATGAAATTCATATGGAGCCACCCAAAACCCCAAATAGCCAAAGCTCTTCTTAAAAAAAAAAAAAAAAAAGAAGGGAATGGAGATATCCTACTCCCAGACTTCAAGCTATACTACAAAGCCATAATAACCAAAACTGCATGGTATTGGAAAAAGAACAGACACATGGATCAATGGAACTAAACAGAAAATACAGAAATAAACCCACAGATTTATGGTCAACCAATCTTTGACAAAGGAGCAAAGAATATGCAATGGAGCAAAGAAATTTTGTTCAATAAATGGTCCTGGGAAAACTGGGTTGCTACATGCAAAAGAATGAAGTCTGACTATTACCTCACACCATGCATAAAAACCAACTCAAAATGGGTTAAGGAACTAGACATAAGACCTGAAAACATAAAACATATGGAAGGAAATATAAGCAAAACACTATATGACATACACCTCAGTAACATCTTTAAAGACATATCACCCAAAGCAGTGATAGTGAAGGCAAAGAGAAACAGCTGGAACTACATCAAATTAAAGAGCTTCTGTACAGTGAAAGAGACAATAACCAAAACAAAGAGAAACCACACCGACTGAGAGAAAATTTTTAGACACAACACTAATAATAAAGCACTGATCACAAAAATCTACAAAGAGCTGATGAGACTCAACAAAAACAAAGAAAATAATCCAGTCAAAAAATGGGCAGAAGAGCTAAAAAGAAACTTCTCCAAAGAGGAAACTCAAATGGCCAACAAAGATATGAAAAAATGTTCAACATCACTTGTAATCAGGGAAATGCAAATCAAAACTACAAGGAGATACCACCTTACACCAGTTAGAATGGCACATATTAAAAAAACTAGCAACAAATGTTGGCAAGGATGTGGACAAAAAGGAACTTTCCTGCACTGATGGTGGGAGTGCAAACTGGTCCAACCACTATGGAAAGCTGTGTGGAGATTTTCAACATGCGAAAAATGGAGCTTCTATATGATCCAGCAATTCCACTCTTAGGTATTTACCCAAAGGACACAGAAACATACATTCAAAAGAGCACCTGCACCCCTGTGTTTATAGCAGCACTATTTACAATAGCTAAGCTATGGAAACAACCTAAATGCCCAAAAATAGATGACTGGATCAAGAAGATGTGGTACACATACACAATGTAATATTACTCAGCAATCAAAAAAAAAATAAACTCATGCAATTTGCAGCAACATGGATGGAGCTGGAAGAGATCATGCTCAGGAAATAAGCCAAAAAGAAATAGAAAAATACCAGATGGTCTCACTCATAGCAGGAATTTAGAAAACCTAAATAAGGGGCCAGGAAAAAGACTAACTCTAATAAAGTAAAAATCAAAATCAACAATCAACTATAAACCAGAGACACACTACAGGGGAGGGAAGAGGGAGTAGGATAAAAACAAGGGGAGTGGGAATTGTATGGGGACTATAACCAAGATGAAAATGCATTCATTGTGCAAAAATGAAAAATGATGTAAAAATATATATATAATAAAAAAGTCTCAACAAATGTCTTTTCTATAAATATAAAATCCAAGCTAATATCTAACTAAAATTTCACATAATCAGTAGAATGGATCACAAATATAATTAAAATTTGCATTAGTTCATACATGTAAAAAATTATTTCTGGCTGATATTTTCAAAATATTTTACAAAACCATATCTTGAATAACTTTTAAAATTATTTTTGGGCCTCCCTGGAGGCGCAGCGGTTGAGCTCTGGGTTGCGAGGCTGCCCACAGCCTCTGCAGCGCCAGTTCCATCCCCAGTCACCAGGCGAGTGTCCCACATGGCACGCAGACCTCGGCTGCTGCTCCCACTGCTCCCCTCAGCAGTGTATTTCGTCAATCTGCCTGTTCTGCTTTCAGCTCAGGCTCTGGTGAATTATCTCACCCTCCCGTGCTTCTGACTGTACCCAGTGCTTGTATAAATAAATAAATAAATCTTTAAAAAAATTTAAAATCATTTTTATATTAACTTTTCCCAAGCTATAAATATACACAGAACACTTTTCATTAATTCCATTTTCTGCCACTATAGTAAAGAACGTACATGGGGTGCAACAATGTTTCTTTACCTCCAGTTTATTTCTTGAAGTAGTGGGTTTCCAGTGAGAGATAATTCACGGAGAGAATAACATGCATCAAACCATCTCATAACACTTGTAAGATCTACAGAAAATAATCAATAAAAAGCATTATAAAAAGCAGCACAAATAAAGAAAAAATTACAAATCAATGTCCAATTTACTGATTAGCTATTAAAAGCAACAAAAATATTTAGACTGCAGAATGTCCATGCTTTTTAAAGGAGACTTTTAAGAACATTGACCCTGCTCCGTGAACTTAAGCACCTCACCCAACTGCTTTTCAATTCAGGTTGTTCTCCCTCTCATAGGGTGAGGATTAAATGAGATAACATATGTAAAGGATTTAAAATGGTTTGTGCCAGATTATAAGCACAAATCTCAAGAATTAAAATCTAAAGTAATAGGAAAAGTTGTAAAATTGAACATACAGCTACAGAATTACATGGACCTAGTATACTCGGAAAAAACAGTAGGTCAATCTAACATACATTACCAAGTAACTCATACTGGCACTCTCTCCTAGAGAAAATAATAAAACTGGACTATATATAAAGCACCTGTTTTTAAGCTTGACAAAGGAGGAAAACATAGAAGTTTAGCAGATAATCAGAGTGGTTTTCTGCCTGAAGGTATTTACTACTTCAGTGCAGTAAATTGGAGACCATGCAAAGAGGTTGTTTTGTTGAGCTGAGTAGGCAAAAATTAGAACTGATGTTGGGATTTGTGGTGAAAAGTACTAAGAAGATTCTATATGGGTGTGTATATTGGGCAAAAAGGGGGTTAGGGGAAGAAGTGTATGTGAGGACTCATACACTTCCTGGACAAGTGTTAGTTATTTCATAGGCAGAACAAGTCTGCAAAATCTAGCAAAGATCACCAGCTATATCTAAGAACTGAATAATAACACTAAGGTTCATGCAGCAGTTAAAAAAAAAATGGAGTTTCAGTCCACTAGAATGAGACCTAATTGAGTATTTCAGATTCAAATAAATCCAGAAAGACTATGCATTAAAGTGGAAGGCAATACTCTGGAATAAGAGCATGCACTAAAAGGTGAAAACTAAAATAACTTTTACTAAGGAAGAGTGAAATTAGGTTGTTGACTGAAACAAAATCATATTTTGATACTTTGCCTTTCTAACTTAAACCCTTTGAAGGAAGAAAACATTCTGACTCACTAAACTGTGCCATGTACAATGTTTAATCTACAGTTAAAATTATAAGATATGCAAAGAAATAGGAAAATGTGGCTTATCATTTAGAGAAAAGCAGTTAATAGAAACAAAGTAAATCAAATGTAAATCAACTTTTGACAAAACACCAAAATAATTCAATGATGAAAACACTCACTCAACCAGTGTTGCTATAGCAATTGGATATTCACATTAATAAATGAATTCAACTTCTACATCATATCATTCATAAAAATTAATTTGGGATAGACCATAGTCCTACACATAGAAACTAAAAGTACAAGTCTTCTAAAAGAAAACACAGGAAATAATCTTATCCAAATCTATAGGTGGAAAACTATATATTGCAAAGGACAAAGAGAGCAATAAATGTTAAAAAATAACAAATTAAACTTCATCAAAAAACTGAAACTTCTGTTTATCTAGATTTATCACTAACAAAATTAACAGGTAAAAAGGAAGTAGGAAAAAATATTTACAAGCATATATATGACCAAAACTCTCATAGAATATATGAAGATTTAATACAAATCAATAATAAAAGGCAAACAACTAAATTTTAAAAATAGTGAGACACTTGGACACAACAAAAAAATATACAGAAATCACCAATACATGCAAGTAAGAATGTTCAATATCATTAATCATCAGGGAAATGCAAATTAAAACCATAATGAGACAACTCAATGAAATACTAAATACCCTCTAGAATGGAGTAATCAGAACTCTTTTATATTGAGGCCAAATGTTAACTACTTTGAAAAATGTTTTTTTTAGTTTCTTATAAAGTCAAATATACACCTTCTACTACATCCAGCAATTATAACTCTTACTCATTTACCCAAAAGAACTAAAAAAAAAAAATCACAAAAAAAGATTTGTATAAAAATTTCCATGGGAATTTTATAGTCATAGTAGTCCTAGATAGTCAACAATTCAAATAGCAATCACCAGAAGAATGGGTAAATAAGTTATGAGATCTTCAAATCAATACAATGGACTGTCACAAGAATGTTGGGTAAAGAAAGCTAAAGATGGAAGAGAACATACCATGTGATCTTATTAATATCTTTATGATGTAGAACAGGTAAAATTAACTTTTGTGACAAATTTAGAACTGTGGTTATCTTTACGAGGGGACAAACTAGTTATGGGAAAATTTGGGGGATGATTAGTCAGCAAATCAATTTAACATTCTTTAGTAAACTTTTATAGGGTTTAGTAAACATTTAGAAAACTTTTATAGGGTTAACTTGTCAAACAAGTTAGACAAGTTTGGTTATTCATCTTCACTAGGTTATTTATTTCATAAGTAAAAGATATATATATATAATTTTTATTTTCTTAAAAAGATTTATTTATTTATGCATACAAGAACTGGGTACAAGCCAGAGGTGTGGGAGGATGAGAGGACCCACCAGAGACAGTGTGGGGAGCAGAACAGGCAGACTGACTGAAGTGCACTGCTGAGGGGAGCAGTGGGTGAGTCAGAGAAGTCTGCTGCACCATGTGGGTTGCTCCCTGGCCGGCCAGGGATAGAACTCTTGCTGCAGAGGTTGCAGATTGCTTCATAGCGCCACTAGGGAGGCCCCCCAAAATATATAATTTTTAAATAAAAATATAAGTGTGACATTTGTCCAGGTCTACCAAAAAGATATGGAAACATTATGTCTGAAAACAAAATTTTAATTGAATGTTTCAGTATGTTTTTGAAGGAGTTCAGAACATGACAAAAAACTGCTATGGCATATTGACTATTTTGAGTTAAATCACTTAAAAAGCAGCAGATATAGGAAGGAAACTTGGATCTTCTTATTTCATAAAAGTAGGAGATGAAATTCCCATGTGAAAGATGTTCTCCCCACACAAGAAGGAAAAAGCCACTCATCACTAAAGACAGGAAGTCAAGGTTTAGAGAAAATTATGCCAACAAACTTCTCACACTAACCCTTCTCTTCCTAGCCACTTTTCCAGTATTAACTACTTAAGCCTCTGTACCTACACTGTACCCTCCCTATACCTTGGTTCTACCATCACATTGCCACATTTTTAATATTTACTACTTTGTTCAATTCTTACTGCTTCTAGGAGTCTTTTTCTTGTGACAACTCCCAAATACATGTAAAAAGAAATAATTAAAACCTCTATACTTTTCTCTTCTTGATATGTTTTATGTTAACTTAATTCTTAGACCAGGTAGAAAACCTCAAAGGGTAAAAGAGATTTTTTTTCCTCCTCTGAACGTTATTGTATAGATATATTATTTGTAAGTGACAAAAAAACTATTCAAAACAACACCTTACATATTTGGAACAGACTCAAAAAGCTTATTTTAAAAATATATGTTTTTTATTCTAAACTTTATTATTCTAAACTTACCAGAAAGACAATTGTTGCTGACATCTAGTTTTTCCAAAGAAATAAAATGAAAAAGTGGTATGATTTTTGTCAAACTGAAAACAAAAACACAAAATTCAAAAAATTTTTAATGAAATGTCCTTAATATTATTGATATAACTATATAATAATACATTTATGTAAGATAATTATATAAGACAATATACAATTGCATTTGTATAATATAATTAAAATATTAGCTAACAGTAGTTATTAAAATGCAGTAACTATAAAAATCTAAGTATTCTATTGTGGTATATATCTATCATTTTTCTAAAGAGAAATTATCATAGAATTGTGCATTGCAGTCCTATATGTCACATTTGTGACTAACATATTCATGTATAATCAATACATTAACAATGTATAACATATATGTATAATGCAGTAACACATTACATAATGTATGATGCATTAATGTACACTTGATATATAATATTACCTTGGTATATAACTATAAAATTTTTTGGCCTTAATTGTATATATTTGTCTTTGTATAAGACCACATTTACAGAGAATTTATATTGACTCCATATATTTTTTCCTGACTCAAACACATAACCTAAACCTTTTAGAGGTAAACAGTAAAAATAATTGTTTTGACTTTTCAACAGGATAACTTATTAGAACTGTTTTTTTAAATTAAAATATATTTTGGTTGCCAGATTGAAAATGATGAAACTACTGTTAAGTATTCAAAGTTATACTGAGGTTATATATACAGAGGAAATATGCCCAGTATATACACAGTGAATCCAAGGAAGAAAATAATAGTAAATACATTGATAGAATGGACTTAAATTTGACAGAAATATATTAATATTTAAAATTAGTAAGGTAGTATGCATGCATATTCAATTCTAATAATAATGAACTTTCATTCTACTTTTAAGTGTATCATTGTTAGAATTATCATTAGGAATCCATATTCAAACAAGGAGCATAAATGTTAAATCAAATATTCACACAATTGAAATAAAAATATGTAGGGAAAATTAACTGGTTTGATTTGCATTTCTAACTAAGTCAACACTTACTCTATAACATAACATATTACTCTAGTTATTTAAGAATTAAAATTAAGCCAGTTAAGCCGTTAATTTAATAAACAAAATTTAAATATTTAAACAAAACAAAAATGTCTTTGCATATAACATATTCTCAGCAGAAGTCCAAAATTATTCTAAATGAATGCTCCCTATAAATTTTGCAACTCCATAACTCCTCAAAATATGCTTCAACTAATGCAATATTTCTGGTACAAAAAAAGTACACACTGATTTCTACTTCTTTTGCTTTCTTACTGTTTCTTCATTTGTCCTGGCAGAGATTTTTCACATCTTTATTTCCACCAAGTCCATGCCATGGAAAAAAAAATACTATTATTACAAGGTCAGGAGATTACAAAATAACACTGTGACTGGAAGTCTCATGGGTTCTGGCAGAAAACTAACCCTTGTACTAACCTTGACTCCTCTCTTGTACTAACCTGGTCTGCATTAGCAGAGAGACAGAAGATACTACTGATGAAAAAATAGACTAAATAATGAGGTTGGAAAAGGATCTCCCTGAGTGTAGCTGATGCTGAATAAAATATTACATATATTACACATATAAAACACCTTCTTAAAATTAATTTCCAGAAGAGAAAAATCAAGGTAATAAAAGAAAAAAAATGATGAAATGTTGTTGGCCATTACATTTATACATATACTTTGATTATTTGTACATAAACTCCTTAATAGTAAAATTTATTGAAATGTAACATACCCTGAAAAAGAAAGGAAGAATGAAACTTAAAACTTTGCCAAAAATATTTAAATTTAAGTCATAATGTTATAATATTCCCTATTCAGATATAATCTGGATCATTAATTAGTAAGAAATTTAAATCCTTTAAGTAAAAATATAATTATAATAAATGTATTTATTAACAAGAAAATCCTTGTCTTATATCTTCAGTTTTTTTCTGATACTAAATCTTTGTCACCCAGAATTTGAAAGATTAATAGATAAATTTTTCTCATTTTTCAGAATATCTTATGTTTTTAACCAATAAGTTATATGGTAATATGAAGGTTATATGACAAAATCAAGTAAAAACAACCAATAAACTTTTAGAATTAAATATAAAAATTTTGTTTGCAAAAATCAGTCCAAGTAAAGAAATATTCATCATGACCAAAGTTTTTCTTTTTAATATTGAAATTTTATCTTTTCAGATAAAAAGGCTTGTAAATTGCATTATTTTTCTTCTTTAGAAAGCTTAATAAAGAAAACTGGCTATTCATTCGCCTCTATGACTATTCATTAGGATGGTAGAAACCTAATAGTGGAATCCACTTTTTTAAACCTCTAGAACTTTTCCTTTTACTGACATTCTGTGTATATTTTTTCCAAGAAAATTCAAACCAGAAAGACAAAGGACATTAGTGAAAACCTAATACCATTTGACCTTGTCACATTAGCCCTGGGCATAAAAAAGATATAAATTTCAAAGACGACAAAAAGCAAAAAATTTGTACAATGAGCAGCCAATGGGTAATAGTTTCCACTTTCTGCTCCTACTTAGGGTCTCACTGGAAGTATAAAGGCTTATGAAGCCAGAGAGTCTTCCAGTTAGGACTCCACTGAGTCAAACTTAAAACAGTCACATGTCCTAATGAAAATTTAAAACAGAAGTCAGGATGAAACAAATATTTCAAACAATATGTAGTGAGTATCATTCTTTATATGTATTTCATTTGTTGGGAGAAAGCATATGGAATTATAATTTCTTCCTTGTGATGAAAATATTTATCAAAAATTTCAAAATGTATATGTATATAATTTAAAAGACATACCAACCACAAACTCAAATATTACATTTAGAAAATTATTCTCAGTTTTGAAAGATGTATTGACATATATTTTCCTTTCAGATCATCATAAAATCCCATAAAGTAGATAAACAGGTATTTCTACTCTTCCCTTTAACATGGGAAAAAAAAAAAAAAAAACAAAAACAAACCTCAAAAACTGAGATTCAGGAAGTCATAAGAGTTGTTCAATTTCAACTGACATAAATTAGATTAAGAATTCAAACCCAGATATGGTTCTAAATAGTCACTGCACAGGTAAAAGCTTAATATAAAGTGTCTACTTTCTATAGTTTCTATCATTAGCTTATTGTAAAAGAAATTCCAGGTTAAAAATGATTATAGGAAATCATTTTAATACTATTTCTATCAGTCACAATTTCCTAGTGGTCTCGAGTTGTTTCCCTTTTCTATCAAAAAATGGCAGGAGGTAACATGTACAAAGAACTTTGTGAGACCCTCAAATAATAAATTTAAATGTGACAGTATTATTAAAAAATTCAAAACATCATATATAATATTTTTCTTGTAAAAATAAAGTTCTATTTAAGATTAAGTTCTTCTATACCTAAGGGATTATTGAGGTTAAGGACATATCTTACTCATTTTTTCACCCCTCAAAAAAGCTAAGTCCACCTTAGTATTGAAAAGTTAGAGGGCTACTGAAAAAAAAAATTATAAAAAGGATTATTTAGACTGAGTATCCTATATTGTTATAAATGTTATAATTTTTTTAATGGTCTACTCACTTATTTCCTAGTCATATCAATATATAAGGAACAAGTCATATTACATTGCTAGGGGAAAAATTTATCAGCTAGCATTAATTTTAATTTTCAAAAGTAGAATATTTCCTTGATGATTAAAATTATCCAAAGAAATTAAAGGCATTATTTTTTGAAGTTTTTTTGATTTAAATATTTTCCAATCTCTTTAAACATTATCTGATCTACTTCTATAAAATACACTAGATATAATAGTTACTAAGTGATTGATTTATTGCACATATCCAAAACACAGCTGACTATTCTGGTCGAAGTTGTACTACTTACCTGGAAAATATTATGAAAAGATCCAGTGCATTTATGAATGGCCCAAATTACTTATTGTTATCTGATAGAGCTGACTCTGAAATAAATTTCCTTCTCAAGACAAATCAACTTTTTCAATGCAGATTTAGTTTTGATATGTCAAATAGTGGAAAGGTTTAATAGATGGAAGTTAAATTATTTAGGACATATACATATTCAAAGGATGAGCATTTGTGGCAGAGGTTGAGACAAAATTTTGTTTTTGGGGGGAAATAGGTATATATGTATCAATGCATATGTATGTATATGTGGGGTGTGTGTGTGCATCCGTGTGTATGTGTATAAATTGGGTTGTCCTTGTTCACTATTTTCCAAAAGCTGTATGACTCAAAGAAGGTGGTTCCTTTCCCTATTTCATGTGCCTTTGATGAACAAATTAATCATATTAGAGTGAATAGGACTCAATGAAATATTAAGCAGAGGAAGACATACACATATTGTGCTCCTGTTTTAGTTTTAGACAGTTTTTCTCTGCAAAGATCCAGATGTCTGGTGGTTTCAAATGGATCTTCTGTGGCAGGTACCCATTTCAATTTAATGTTAAGGTATTTTTTTTAAGTGTTACTTTATATCCTTAGGGAAATCGAATTTAAATCAATCTTAACAGTTACAAAAAGACATGCAAGTTGAGAGCAGATTAAAAATAGTTCTTCCAGGACTTAATAAGTACCATTTGAGAGAATGAGACATCCTTCTGAATTAAATTAACTACCTCCCCTATTTTCCAAGGACTATATTCTTTACAAATATAAACAAACCTGCCCTGAGAGATTTCTACATGTTTGAGATGAAACAAAATGAGTAGTATAAGTTGGCAATTAAAATGCTATTTGATTTGCAAGTGTGTTGATACACTATATTTTAAAATTCTACAAAGCTATAATTAATATATATAATTTATTGTATATTAATGTAAACACTAATATATTTTAGCTGCATGAATGGAAAAACCTAACAACTTTTCTACTTGTTTATGAAGATCACACATTAACTTTAAGTAATCATTCACTTCAATTAGTGCTTACGAAAAAAATGTCTTTACCTGTTTTGAGAGATAGTGAGCTTTTGTAGCAAAGGCAGCCAATATGAAGAAAATGCTTCCACAGTTGAAATGCTGTTATCATCCAAATGTAATTCTCTTAATAGAACATGATTCTTCAAGGATGGAAGCTACATTCAAATTTGAGTCATTTAGCTCATTGTAAGCAAAATACTTTTACTGTTTAAGCAAATATAAAACTCACCAAAACTTAAATATATATATATAATGTTAAACTGCATATCCTAAATCAAAGCATAATGTTATGAAAAATTTAGTATGAATAAAATTTCTAATAATTAACTTTATAGTAAGAATTTATAAATTAAAGTTATTTCATGAAAATGTAGTTAGAATTTCATGATAGATAAATTTGGGCACATATACTAAAATGTAACTGAAAAATATTTAACTCTGTTGAAGATTTTTTAAATAGAGAAAAGCATGCAATTGTTTAAATTATACAGGAAATAGAACACAGCTGGTATGCAAAAAGAAAAAGGTAAAATTAATCAAAATTGGCTTTTAAATTGTGCAGTTGATATTAAAAAGTTGTATTAATGATAGATATTAATTAATTCAAAACAATTACTTCACTTAGGTAATTTCCCTGTAACTTCAATATTTGGAGCAATCCACAGTTTTCAATGCCTTCTACTTCAGTAAGATGATTATGTGAGCAATCCAGGTATATAATGGTAGGAGTATCACAAAGACCTTTAGTACTAATTAACTGATTGTGGTCCACAATTAGTTGCTGAAGATTTCTCAAAGATTCTAAACCACCTGGAAGAAAAATTGTCCATGATCATTTGTATCACAATTTCTTACAGATTATAAAGGAGAGTTTCAGCTTTTTTCTAAATAGCTGTACCTTGCTGTTTCCCAATATTTCTAATTATAAGCAAAGACTTAGTCCAAATTTACTGGTGAAAATTATCTTTTATGATGTATTATTTAAAATTGCAACAGAGATATTTTTGAATGGTGTAATACATATTGATTGAAAATTGAACAAAATACTAAAAGTTTTACATTGGGGAGTGAATATATTATTTTCCAATACCAATGAAACAAGGAAGAGACAGAAGGATTTGTTTAAAAACAGTCTCAAATCAGTTTTAAGGCTTTTGCACTTTTAATCCTTGCTTAAGTTGTAACATGTAGCATTAGAATGCCATTCTAATGCTAGAATGCCATTCTAATGCCATTCTAATGGACATCTATTGAGATGTCCATCTTAAAATCCCAAATGAAGCATGTGATATTATAAACAAAAGTACTAGTATGTTCTTTGGGTATTTCAAGATTGTCTCAAGTGACCTCCTCTTTGTTCAGAGAAACTTAAAATCAATTATGATATTACCTCAAAAATATCAGAGGAGACTTAGACTATAGGTTATAAGAGAAAGACTGAGAGGTGTTTCAGCAAGCTCACAGGAGTTACGTATCTGTATTTGCATCGCAAGGGAAAAGTATAGACTGAATCATAAGTGAGTGATAACAGCAGTTGTCCGGCAAAATAAGAGCAGTAAACAGAGAGAGAGAAATTCACTGCTTAATCCTCACCGCCACCACCACCACCAAAATATGGTTGAATTAAAGAAAAATTTGGAAAAACCTGTTTGTCATTCATTATAAGGCTTTGATATATTGCCAAAGTGGTAGAACACTATATACAGACAGATAGGTCTATCTCTCAGATTTTAAAATAAAGATTTAAAGGGAACTTATTAAAACATTTAAAATGAGACTTCAAGAAGAAGTAGGATGTGCTTTAAACAAGCAAATATTAACCTAAAAATTGACCTAATGAGAAAAAGAAAACAAAATCATCTAAAAATATATGGAGCTGAGGTCCACTAACAATCACATGAGCAATCTTGGATGTATCCATAGATCTTTCAGTTGCATTGGGTCTTGAGATGACAGCAAGCCATCCTGGGAGATGACAGTCATCCTTATGAGAAACCCTGAGGTAGAAACACCTAGCGAAGCCATTCTCAGATTCCTAATTTGGAGAAAATGTGGCAAAATAAATCACTGTAGCTTTTAATTACTAAGTTTTTGTGTACCTTGTTTCACAACAATACAAAAGGAGTCCATTCTGAAATAAACATGAGAAAGGAGAAAAAAATTTGAAAAAGCTTTGGACTATTCAAGAACATTTAGAGAAATTTAATATAATAAGAGTTCAAAGGTATTTAAACAACAGACGTTAGTAAATAAAAATACCATGAGAGATTTAATAACAAATTTAGAAACAACATTGTACAAAACAGAAATTAAAGATCAAGTTGCCCACCAAAGAAAGAGAATCAAACAGAATAAAATGCAAAGAAGCGAAGGGTAAGAAACTAATTAATAATAGATGTGAAAGAGTGACAATGTTGGCCAAAAACAGATCACCTATGACCAAAAAAATAGTCAAACCAAAACAGTACTCAAAATATATAAGAAGCAAAATATTACAGAAATGAGAGAATAATTCAATATGCTGTTTGAAGACAACAATACATTCTAAGAAAAACTTATATTGACTTATTGTTAGTAAGCTGTTTCTCAGTTAATTCACTGATGGAGGACAAAGAACATGTTATTCAGGTATCTAGGCATAAATGAGTTATGAGGATGGGAAAGTCAAGTTGGACTAGGTTTGCCACAGCAATACACAATATTATATATGTAATGGAACAATACCTACAAAGAAGCAAGTGAAAGCATACTCCAAAAGTAGAATTCACAGCTATATTCTTACTTAAATATGAAGGCAACTGACAGATATTGCCAAAAATGCAAGAATCTAGGGACCACAGCATCTTTGAGCCCTGTGAAAAGATTTAAAAGTGCAAACAAATTGCATAACCTAGACAAGCAAAAGATAAAAGAAACAGTTGTCATAAAAAGAACTGGTACTGACCCATTTCCTACTGGTATAATGTTGCCAAGGGACATAAGGAGGGAGTCAAAAATCCCAATATGATGTCAAATTCTGTGAACACTAAAAATTGTGAGAGGGAGTAACTGTAAAAAGCACAAACATTCTCATTCTCTTAGAGTTAATATTGTCAAAAATAGATTGACTGAAAGCACATCTCAATAAATTGCTGAACAAAAAAGTAGGCAAGGGAAGGTGGAAGTTTAAATGAGATCATTTTATCAGTGTTAGTATGAGGAAACTGACAAATAATGTTTCCAACAAGTAATTCACATGTAGGTGATTTTTGTGCATTAATAGATTCTTTATAATAATACTCTAGCATATTTTAACAATTATTTAATTTATAAATCATTGTAATTTTAAAACTTCCAAATTGATGTTCTAATTCAGTAGTGGTAAATTTGCTGGCTACATCACCTCAAAAGTAGCATTGAATTTTGCACGGTTTCATTTATATGGAGAATATAAAGAAAAAAAAGAAAAGATTATTCAAAACCAAACTAAAAACAAACACTAGAAATCTGACTGTGAAAATGAGGCTACCCAAAGGGGAAGGAGAGAATAGAAAAAAAAGGAAGGCGCGGGCTCAATGGACCATGGTGCCCTGGTGGTGGGTGTGGTATGAAAGCATACTCCTGAAGAGGTGGGATTGTATATTTCTGACTCATATACAGTGTTGTAAACTTACAATGTTACCTTAATCACAATATCAAATATTATAAAAAAGTACTTAATCATGAGGAAATGCTACTAATGTTAATTTTTGAATGTAAAGTGGTATACAATATAATCTAAATATACTGTTAACTCTTTAATACTGGAATATGAAATATATGCCTAGAGTACATCTGTTTATGGATATACTAATAATTATAGATATAATTATTTTCTAATGTTTAATTAAACATTTCTTAATTACCTAAATTTCCTTCTATTAATCTTTACCCTACCCTAAATGTATAATAGAAAAATAGACTTCATTAGCTGAATCATTACAATGTTCAATTCAAGTGATTTCTTTGGTCTCCTTTTTTTCACATAACACGCGTACTTCATATAGATGGATGTTTTGTTTAACATTCTATATTTGTTACTCCTCAGATAGTTTGAACTTTTGTTCAGGTATTTGCCATGTTACAATTTTATTTTTTAATGGAGTTAGTGTCAAGTTTTTTCCTGAATTTTTGAAATGATAGGCATAGAGAATCTACTATAAAGTATATTCCTCACAACTCGACTATAAATACAAAAAAAATTTCTAAATATAATTTTACTGCTGATTAAAACTCATCAGCAACCAGGTTTGCTAATCCTAACACTGTGTTGTGTTCACACAGAAATAGAGAAATGATACAGACAGAATCTCTGCTCAATTACATCTAACTTGAAAAATTCAACTGGAAAAACTTTATTATGACATGTAGAAATATTCACAATCTGTCATGAAGGGAATAAAGTAAATTGCAAAACAATATTATAGTAGTGATTTTTTTAAGTGAATATAAAACAATTTGGAAAGTTCATCAGCACTTACTATATCTGGAAGATGGAATTATAGGTGCTTATTTTATCATTTTACATTGTAATTTTAGATAATAGGCATATGTTAATTACATCGAATTTTCTTTAAAAAAAAGTACAAAATCACTTTTGCAGAAATTTCTGGTCAAATAGTTGATACATCTTTACCTCTCACAATAAAAAGTCATTACCTTTTTATTTACTTTTATCAAATTTTATTATTTGTCATTTGCTTACAAGTTTTTAATGTTTTCAAATGAGTTAAGAAAGTATTGTCTAAATTTTAAAATATTATGGTAGACAAAGAGAAGTAACAATTATTATTGTTAAGCCAGTTTTCACTGTGAGAAAATGGGTTAACTCTAAAGATCAATTTCTATAATCATGCTTGAGAATACAAAACTTAAAATTCACCCAAAGCAGCCAACTATAATAGACAATTCCACATAAATCTGGAATCCTGATCAGATATACCTAGTCAAAGGCCAGAAACTTAACTGCCTGTCTCAAATTTCAGTATTAAATAAAAGAGGGAAATCTCCATTTTAAAATAATAAACACAAGCTAACTCTTCCATCGTAGCTCAGATTCTCTCTAATGGTGATCAGAAAACGTCCACCAAAAATGTAGCAGATATGATACTAGATGTCCCCTAGCCCTTGAAAAATCTACTCTAAAGAAGAACCTTTTATCCCAAATATAATATAATAATAAAACCTAAGTTCTAAGGGAAATAAACAGCTGGACAAAGAAAAATCACATGACAATGATAAGAGCAGAAATGAAGCAAAATCAGAATGTGGAAATTTGAATTAATGAAATTAAAAATTAAATGATAAAGACTAATAGGAAGTTAAAACATGTTAACTGGAATATAAATATATAGAAATTATCCAGAGACAAAAAAAAAAATGTAGGAAATATGGAGGCTATATAAAGTATCAGTGGAGAGAACAAAATGAGGAAGAAAAATCATTTGAAGAAATAGTGACTGATAGCCAGGTAAATTTTTTTAAAAACTAAGCCACATAATAAATAATATATAAAGCACAAAAGGATGAGTTAAAAAGAAACCCATGCCTAGAATAAAAGTATATAGTAGTAATATCAAAGAAAAGATACTTGAAAAAGATGTACAAAATACCCTGAAAAGTACAGAAATTTAACTGACAGCTGACATTTTAACAGCAACAGTGAAAGTAAAAAAGTAATGGAATGACACCTGTAAATTACTAAAATAAACTTCAAGTTAGAAAAATACTCAGTTAAATTATAACTCAAATATGAATGTTACAGTCAAACACAATCTAGTTATCTTACTTGA